ATACGCGGGAAACGCGCACACCTGGGGGCTGCATTTAAAATCTTTGAGTTCTATATGGACGGAGAACATAATATCAAAATTCCAGCTTTCTAGCTTTTCCGGTTCCCAAGTTAGCAATTTTCCCGCCAAAACGTTGAGGCGTTCGAACGTGGAGCCTAGACGTGCGTGAGGATTGGCACCGCGGTCCTGGGGTGGCACTTGGCGGGAAAACCCACTTGCAAAATTTCGGCGCCGGAGCTTGCTTGGGTGCCGAGTTGAAACACCCGGACACACACGCACACCGGGATCGACGCAACATGCGTTTTCGCATTTGCATATATGCAAAAACGTATAAAAAGGTGTTGAAGCACTTTCCCGCCCACGTCCAGCTTCCTTCTGATCGTTACACGCGTTCAAAGATGTCAAATCTTAGTAGGAGAGCCATTGGGGAAGCCAGCTGATTTTGTGGGTGAAACATCAAGCGCTAACTACATCAATAAAACGCTAGCGCATTCTTCTACTGATTTGCAGTATTTTTCTGCCGTTCATCTAAATGAAGAATTATATAGGATATTCTAATTTTATAAAGCTGGAAGAGTTCTAAAAAATCTAGAAGCAATAATTTAAGTACCGCAGACGTAGATATAACCTTACTAGACAAATCAGTTAATTATTAGCTCACTTCCGATGATTTTTGTAAATCATACGAGTAAAAAAGCCCAATAACGCCTTTTTAACAGACCCTTGCAAAACTGTTTGAAATCGAGTGCATGACAGCAGGCGCAGGCCGCACCGTTTATTCACAGGAAATGGTAATGACGGCTTTTCCTCGGCAGCAAAATGTATGAATACATCATTGGTTTCCTGCAATTACAACATTTTGCAAAAACTTGCTCATTTCACTAACTAAGTGCTCTTATTATGCATTTTGTGCTCCGCACAGCTGCACAAAACACATATTGTCACGGGGCTGTGTGTGTGTTTGTACATATGCATACATATACGCATATTTATACATATATATGTATATATATATGTGTGTGCCCGATGCATCTTTCCCGCAACTTTCAACTTGGGTATCACGGAGGCTAGGAAGCTGAAAATTTATGGAAATGCTCCCCGCCCCGTGTGACCCCGCAAATTTAAATTCAGCCTTCTCGTGCCCGTGTAAAATTTTTGGCAGGGAAATTATCGGCGGAACCATAAAAGTTGAGAAGCTGAAATTTTGTGGTGATGTCACATGCAATCCCGCAAATGAATCCCTTGCTCACATGCAATCCCGTAAATTTAAATTCAGTCCTCCCGCGCGCCCGGGTATCACTTACGGCCCCGTGAAAGTTTCGGCGGGCGGAATTATTATCTCAGGAACAACGAAAGTTCGGAGGGTGATGTCCCCTACCAACGTAAGGCCCCGCAAATTAGGATTCAGTCTTCACGCAGCCTTGGGTACCAAGTACAGCCCCCTGAATGTCTTGGCAGGGGAATTATAAGCCAGGAGGCTGAAATTCTACGATAATCTTCCCTGCCGAAGTAAAACCCCGAAAGCCTGAATTCAGTCTTCCCCTATGTATGGGTATCAAGTACGGCTCCGTGAAAGCTTTGGTGGGAAAAACTTTTATCCTGAAAACCACGTAAGCTAGGAAACTGAATTTTTAGCATGATTTCTCTTGTCCACGTACAAATCCGCAAATTCTCAACGTCCGCGTAAAAGTTTTGGCGGGAACATCATTATCTCGGGGGCCAGAAGAGCTAGCTGAAAATTTCAGAAGAATGTTTCCTGCCTAAGCAGGGGCTTCACAAAGTTGAATTCAGTTCCTAAGCACGCCCAGGTCTCACGTACGACCACCTTGAAAGTTTTTTCGCAAAAATCACTCAAAAGCCAGAAAATTAGGGGGCTAATTTTGGAAAGATATCCACCCGCCGAGATCTCAAATCCATTTTTCACATACCGGCACATGAGGTTTCAAACAGAAAATTCCGCAACTTAGGAACCAGACAGTATCTCAACTATTTTTGCATAGACTCAAGTGCAAAGTAGTAAAAACCCTTAGCAGGCAAACGTTCGCTGGACGGAAATGCACAAAACACATGATCGCACCGTCTGCCCTAGTACGCATTGCTACTTATTTCACATCAACACCAGGACACCTTGATCCTGCGAGATTCTGTAAAGTTTTGCTCCTTAAACATTGCAAACAGCATGCGCAAGGGATGTTTTGTGATACAACAGCATGCTAGGCAAACAAAGGCGGCTTACCTGGCAAGTAAGTAGGCCAGCTTTTGCAGGGCCATTAGCAAATTCATTGATTGTCATTGCCCGAAACCTAATATGATACAAAGCATTGCCTAACACGTCTCGCAAGTTTTGTGGTAGATCCGGCAATTCGCGCCTGCAGAAAATTTAAATCTCTCCCCAAGAAACTCGAAACGAGGACGAGATGACTAAAATAATATGAAAATGAAAGCTTAGCGAATCCAAAACACCTTACAACTGAGAAACTGTACATGGGTAAAAATGTTTTTACAAAGGGCCCTTGTAATTAATGATTTTCACATAATGTTTTTTCTTTTGCAGAAAAACTAAGAGAGTAAGCGTATTTTGAATTTTTCTAAAATCACATGAATACCTTCCACATTCAGCTTTCGCCCACTTTATCGCTGCTTCATAGACTATTTTTTCGCGGACAACAAGAGTTTTACGGGATATTATTTGATCAAGCAGTGAGAAATCAATGTCACAAAAACTGTCGGATGACAAGACCCTTTCTGCATCCGCATCCACTAATTTCCAACATCTGAAAGGATATGCAAATCGTTATTCCTTAAGCAGAGAGGTTTTTTCCACACCGATCCCTTACTATTAGTGAAGCAGTAAAACGTCGCGAGGTTTTATCACTTTATGAATTTTGAACTGTGCAAATTTCTCAGGTGATGAAATCGAAATTTAATTTTTCATTGGCATTTCATTGTTGGACATGCAGTAAATGCACTACCTGTTCAGGAACTCCTCATCAAAAAGACGACTGTGAGCCAGTAATGAACAAACATTGTCTGCTTTAAGATTACAGTCCAAAAAGTCGATGGCTGCTTGTGCAAGATACGTTATCATGTATTTCTTCGCAACATACAACGTCGAAAGAGCACTCGTCGCATCCAGTTCAATGTCATCACTGTATAAATATCTGCAAAAATTTTACACATGAAGGATTTATGCACTGACAGTACCACTTTGATAGAACAACCCCTCCTCGCTCCCGGCTTTTCCTGTCCGCTCTTAGCGTCCGTTACTGTGATATTTCATTAAGTCTCAGTAACGAATCAGCACTGGCGTATCTGGAGAAAGAAGCTGGTGAATGGGTTTCTTCTTATCAGTTTTCTGAAATAAGGTTCTAATTCTAGTTGAAAATGTGTGGCTATTTCGGTGAGCATGAAGCAATACTAGAAGCGATGATCCGAAAAACAAACTTCAGCAAGATTTTGAAAGCAGCTGGCTCAACATCCGGTATTTCAATTTCATTTTTTCTGTCGAATCCACCATTAAACATGGCACTGAACGGTTCCGAAGCTATAGAGAGGATATAAGAGTGGGCAGGAATTCGTTCACTGCTCTAAAAAAACAGGTTTTAGAGCCTTCGAGATTTCAAAGTTACTTAATAATAACGAAATTTGCACAGGGCGAGAAGAATAAACGTCAAAAATACCAACATCACCAACAACGAAGTGAACGTCAGCAAGCCATTCGTTGAGGTACATAGAACCATTCCGCTCTCTTAATGTTGCTTTGAATCCATCTTTGCTGGGTTTTGGCCTGACTGAAAGTGAATTTTTAACTATGAAAGTCAAAAAAGCAAATTTGAGTTACGTCCTTTACAATACACCAATTTTTCTAAGTACAGACACAGAGATGATCCCAGACTCAAAAACATTTTGAAAAATGTCATGGTAATTCATCATCAGATCGTTTATTAGCTTTTTATGCCACACTGGGACCGAATGTTATTTCCTAGCATTTACTGCGTGTAAAGATTTCATTTTCTTACAAGCCGACCCAAGCAGCCCGTCTTGCTGTGGACCAGGCAGTTCGAACCAGAATACAATGCCTGGCATGTCCAGAACACAATTTATGACATTGGGCAGTGTGGAAAACTATCAGCCTGACCAGTGGATGGTAACGCAACAAAGGTCATCCAGCTAACTACAAGATGCAAAAAAGCCCATAAGATGTAGGCTACGCAGCGCAATATGAAGGACAAGGTGAACCGATCAAATCAAAAAACGTACTTCATTCTCCTGCACACCCCTCAACTTAATATGCGGCAGCAGATCGGCAGTCAGAGGATGAGTAGTTGCTAAAAATCTCAAGTGAAAAAAGGCCTAAGCCACGGAAAGGGCTAGGTCCCTCAATATGCAGGTGAAGTGGACGAATGAACTCAAGAACTAAGTCATCTATAAAGTCGATGCATCGATCTCGCGTGTCCGAAATACGGCAAACGACCAAAGAAATCATACACTCTGACTTTAGCCAATAGGCCGAGAAAAAAATACTGAGGAGGAAGGTGAGGAAGGAGAGATGGCAAAACGATTCTACACGGCAAAAAAAAAACAGATGGAAGAATGCTGGTGGATTCGGCTTCATCTTCAGCAGAAAGTGTCTTTTGTAAAGCATTTCTTTACAGGTTCACGCATCGTGAATCATAGCATCTCTCAAGTTGAATCTCAACAAGAACTTTAAAATCGTTCAACGTCAGCGCCGTCGACGACGCCGCTGAGTTTCAGAAATTCCGAACTGATTTTGAATTCACGCTAATCGCTATGCCGAAATATATGATCGTTATAAGCGATTTCAATGCAACAATTGGGTAAGGACGAAGGATGACAAGAGGCGTTTGGTAGATATGGCACTGGAGACAAGAATGACAAAAATGATAAGTTAGCAGCGGCGGCGAAGAACAAATTGTCTGTTGGTAGCACCTATGTCCAGAAGGACACAGCAGAGATTTCCACTTGGCGAGTGTTAAATGTGAAAAGGAAAACAAAATCGACCACATTTTGACCGATGCTTGGAAGCAACAATACACTATTTTGGCCCTAACAAAAAGGATTTGGTACGCAGCAATTCAGCACAACAGACTCCGGTAAATTAACGAAGAAGAGATGAAGACGCAGAAAACACCGACTGGACTATTATCTGGTTTCTAACCACTGGTACACCTGGCACGTCATCTCTCACTCGAAGTAAGTAAATGGATATCAACATCTGCGTAGATCATCAAAAAATCTGAGTAATAACTCCAAAATCATTCAACTTATGCTACTGGATCTTGCCAGGTGAAAACCTTTTCACCTACAATGCGAAAGCGCAAACCTTTTTTAATTTTCGACGGCCGAGATAAGGTGCCATCAACCGGGATGGTTATGCTTACCCCATCATACTTTTCTCGAATTCTCGAGATCCGCAAAGGCGGTTGGGGTCGTGAAACTTCCACATTCTCCGCAAAAATCTGAATTTCATTAACTTTGAAATGTTTCAAACCAAAGACTTCTCACTGCAAAACCACAGAAGCTTTTAGTGGGTTTTCCTTTTTTTTTTTTCAAATAAACTCGAACTGAATAAGGACTAAGAGTAACGTCACTGGGGGCAGCAAAAAGTAATGATGGAGTTATGCAAGGATATAAAATATTACGAAAAGAGGAAAAGATCGCAAAAGCCCAAGGAATTCTTACGCTGTCAAATACCACAACTTTTTCTAATCGCAAGTTCCCCTCACTCAAAAAATTTTCATTGTTAAAAAGTACTCAAATATCAGGTGCTTTATATGCTCAGATGCTAAACTAATAAGTACGCAATCGAAGAAGAAAGTAGTAGATCGGGATCGTAGAAAGCCCTGCAACATCCCGCCATCAACAACATCGATAATGTTAAAGAAGACCATCAAATGCAAAAGTAACCTGCTGATTATAACATTCAGCGCGAACTGCCACTAACCAGCCACTGGATGTCGACGGCTGCTGGTCACTTTCAACATCCACACACTGCACATTTGAGGCATCTTCTGTTGGCGAACTGTCCGGGCCTGCTTGCTGGACGCAAGTTGCTGCTGGAAATGTTCAAAATCAGAAACGAAATGGTTCAGATTAGCTTGATTTGAGATGCATCATTCGAACTCGATGTTTTTGTAAAATGGAAATTGAACTGCTCCTGGCCTGGAACTCAGTCCTCGCATCCACTTTTATAAGGACAAGTGCACATACCACATTTGCATACGCTGAATATATGTAGTAAATCCATTAGTAAATGAACACATATATGATCTGCATCTTTGGCAGGTATATGTGTATTCAGTGAGACTGGTGCATATGTGTGTACATGCATACATATATATATATATATGTATATATATATACACATATGTGCATATATATACATATAGATATATGTATATATATATGTATACATATATATAAATTCCGCCTCAGCAAGCGAAACTAACTGGACATACCCACCAAATTTGAGGGACACGTCCCTGTCTCCCCTAAAATCATAACCATTGGGCAATTCACTATATATAAGAAAACCCAATTGTTTGCCTCCTCTCACTGACTCCTTCCAATAATTCATTTTTTGGCTCAAACCGATGACACTCGGAAGTAACACGAGTGGTAGCATGGTGCTACTACTGAAAGACCGTCAACAGTCGATCCAAGCCAACAGCAGTTCACCGTAGAAAGGAAAATGGACGAATCCCAGTAACACGACACCGGATCCCCGCACTGACTGTTCAGGTGACCTTGATGATTTTGATAAATTAAAGTACTGGAATGGCAGTCCCGATAGTATCCCGATTCCCTCCTTACGTGGTGTCACGAGGGCACAGATTATCAAAAAAACCCCAATCTACGAAGTGTTCATGTCCAAAAAAAATAGAAAAATTTCAATGCCCTCACGTTGCGTCAATGACCAACCGATGACCACATTTTTTTCGGACATCCACTGCAGTTCTACTGCAGTGGACTGGAAAAAAAAAGTAGAAAAATAACAAATCTTACTTGCACCGACTGCTTCCGATAGGTCAGCCATCAGGAAGTTGCATCCTGGATATTTTCTACATCCTCGACGTCAGCGACTTGATTAGAACTGTCTGTATTCCCTCGTAACCGCCTTTGTTTTGGATTCATTATACATGTCTACACTGGCTGCTATACAGTACTGGCTGCGACAGACGATGTTATAATTGCCACACTACATCCTCCACACAGATCTTGGTCCACACTAAGAAAAAATCCTGAGATCAGTGGCACATCAAACAGTGAGAGGAATGCTCACGAAAGTGCTAGTAGTTGCGCCGTACAATACGCTATTTGAAGACGACAAAGTAAGCCGATGATTTCTCGCATCCCGCTGAGCAATACGTATAAGCAGGCGATCCCGAAAAGCAAAACTGCCAGTAGAACTGGTAATAATTTATTGTCGAAGCCAAAAACAACGCAGTAACACATCACAGGCAGATTCTACAATCACTACGGTCGAGGTGGTCGGGCATTTTCTAAATGATAACAACGCCGGTATTTGAAAAATGATCGCTCCATCCGTAATTCATTGACTGGCCAGCTGCACCCTACTATCTGCAATAAAAATATCGGACGGAGACTTTCCCACCACTATCTCCTTATCTTCAAGTAGAAGAACAGAAGAATTTCACTTGAATGTCATGTGTTTGAAGACATTTTATGACGCAGTCTGTGTTTCATCCCCAGCTGTAGTATACACAGACCGAACAGTGCATGCGGGTAGGAGTGGGAATCATCAATACAGCCTCCTACCCGCCATGTTTCGAAGAGTCATGTGTGTAATTTGCAAGGCAGGTGACAGGAAGAAATAGATGTAAGTGAAGGGATAAACAAAGTGAGAAAGGAAGTAAAGAAGAGAAATTAAATCGTGAACGAACAAACGGAAAGGAAGGGAAGCAGGAAAGTTGAAACACGATACAGGGAACCAAATCGACAATTATTTCTAAATTCTGAATTTTTCTCATTTATTATTTCTGAAGACGCACTATTAATTACAGCTGTTTAAAAAATATATAAGTATTTCAATAAATATTCAGAGTGTTGCAGCAATGACCAGAGAAATTCCGCAAGCTTATGTATTCTTGAATGTGGATGTCTTTAAAGTAAAAACACCAAGAGCAAATCTTCTGCTGCAGGAACTCCACAACATCGCCTCGGAACACTGCACATTAGTGCGGCTAGGCGTAAAGCGAACTAAGTTACAAAACGCTTTCCCCAAGATATACCTCAAAATGACGACCCTAAAACCCAAAATCATTACAACACCAGCCCTCCACCTCATGCACACACAACAACAGAAACTACTAAAAGTTGGCTCGGCTCGGCCTCGCAATATGCACTCGTCTATGGGTTTGGGCGCAAGCTGCAAAACGCACGGGGTTGCACAATTGATGACTTCTAATGCGTTTTTGCCTGTATGCAAGCCGCAATAAATAGCAACGCGCACCAGACTAGCCGGTGTGATCATGCGTTTTGTGCAATTCAGCCCATCGA